AAAAATCAAAACTCCTTAATCCGTCAAAATATCCAACTGCATTCAACGCCGTGTTGTGATTACCAAGCAGACTATTCGTGACCTTACCGTCACTCAATATCAGTGTTTGCTTCACGAGTTTGAAGACTTTTATAATTGAGAGATCGTAAATTGAAGTACCCATCATTATCTGAGAGCTTATTAGCTTTCACATTTACAGGTAGATAAAGACAAGCCCTAGACATTAGGGACCTGTGAGGAACAAATACTTCGGCTCTGCCCTCTTACCATGGTTGCCAAGTAATTATAAAACTGACAGTAAAAACAAACAAAACAAAATTTAGCTGTAGGCATGATTTTTCAAAAAAATCGCACATGAGATCCACTGAGATCAGGGGCTTTATGTCAAAATCTTGAAAATCAAGTTTTCGGTACCTTCTGTAAACAAGATTCTAACGGTTTACATGATAAGTACGAGTTCTTTTATTTTTTAAGTTCCTATAATAGCTTTAATTCTCCGAAATTTAAAAATTATGACATTTTGAAAATTGTCTGTTGAATTTTTCCGAGAGTTCACCATTCTATTAAAGTTGCCCCACAAATCTCACAGGAGGGGATGGAAATGACCTAAATTCTCATATCCGATAATTCAAGGTGGATTTGGGCGAAGCTAACGAATCTGATCCAGTTCAAAAGGTTTTTTGGAATATGAAGTTTTGATAAATGAAGAAGTAATTATATAAACTGAATGGTAAGGATAGGAATGAAGAGGAAGAAAGACAAAACTTTTGGTTCAAAATATGGTTGTTTACCCCTTTAGATCTATTTTTTTTTTTTAAATTTGAATAAGTCCCTTTCTCTAGATTGCATCAGTCCACACTCTCTCTATCAGGAACTTTGTTTATTTCACACTAATGTAAATTGCTTTGATTGAAAAGTCAATTGTTTTAAGTCCTGTTAAAAATATTTCGGGGAAAAGAATGCAAACATCATTAAAATCATGTTCCTTAAATTTTCATAGACCTTCAGCTGTCTTGAAATCAGCATCAGAATTTACATACGAGAGAGAGAAAAAAAATAAAGAGCGAGAAATCCGACAACATCCTTCTTGCTCCATACGGTGTTTCTAACCCAACATTTTAAATGATGTTTCTCACACCTGCCCGTTGTTTCACTTTTCAGAATCACTTGGAGCCTGAGAAAGGGTTTGTGACTAGGATATTTGTTTTCCGTTTATGTTTTATCTTCCTTCTAACTATATTTCCTGTATGTAAGACACCGCGAGTTAATGTCATTTGTGGCAAATATTGAACTTTTAGCTCATTATTTTAGAGAACATTTTTCCTGAGCGGAGTCACATTGAAAAATGGCATAAATTCACTATAGTGTGCAGTCATTGGTTGGTTGGATATCATGGGAGGAAGAGGTAACCTTACAGAACTCGATGACGGTGGAGGTCATTGAGGAAATTATGAAAACCAACTTCTACACAAAACTCCAACTTCTTCTCGTCTTTCCACACAAAATTCCTTTCTTGACAGAGGCTGCAAAGGGTACGATTGGATCCACATTTTTGGCTACAAACTTATAAGTCTGAACATGTTTTACATTTCCAAATCATGTTACAAAAATGAAATGAAGAAACAAATATTCCCAAATATATTTTCACAACTTGAATACACAAGACCACAGTATGGCGTTACGTCGGATAATTTTACTTAAAAAATTGTAAAGCTTTACTATTTTAGCATGAGATAATTGGAAAATAAGGCTTGAGGAACTAAAAATATTTTTTGCAACGAGTGAGAAATTGTGAGTGAAGACACGGGATATCTAAATTTTATAAATAACTTAGCCATCCAATCGACTCATTATTATCAAAATTTGGTTTCTAGGTATCGACTAACGTATTTTTATGGGAGCACCTTATATATTGGCAAAAAATTATAGGATCACCAATGCAATTGTGTCCGATTACCAATTTTTTCTGATCGTTGGTTTTAAAGATATCGCCTTTCAAAAAATGGCGCATTATATGTAATTTAGTAGAGTGCAAGTCATGATCTCTATGAAGCCATTTGAACAAAATATTTTTCCTCCATTCATTTTAGAGCCTTAGCTTCTCTGTCGAATGAGAGCTCGAAGTAGATTTAATATTTATCAAAAATTTTTAAGTGTAACTTAATCTGGAACTGCAGCCTGCTATGTATCAGCTCCGTTAGGGATAACAAACTTCGATATTTCTTCGCAATTGTTGTTCAATGCATCGTCTCCCGCATGAAGAAACGTAACTCCATTCATTCAAAGGTTGCCAAATTTTCCCGCAAAAATCGCATATAATCAGGAGAATCTTTGGTATTTCTAATTGAAAATTTTACTGATAATTCCTCGGATTTCATGCAAAAATCAGAGGAAATTGGATAAAATTGCACAGGTACATTTTTGAA